TGTAGTGATCAACTTTTTGTGGGCATAGCCTATATTGTTTTGTTGTTTATTTCCATTTCCTCTTATAAGAATTGAAATCTGACTTCCACCCTTAATACTCCATTGAAAATTCTGTTTGCCAAAGTCACTGATAATGTCCATGTAATTAACTTCAACTTATGTTTTCAAGTACTTACTTTTCTTGCCCACTTAGTGGTGTGTGACACCGTTAGACAATCCTTTGTTCTTGAAAACTGGTTTTCCTTCTACTGATCTAGACACTGTCAATTTTTTTTTTTTTTAAGATGAAGTATTGCTCTTGTCCCCCAGGTTGGAGTGTGATGGCGCAATCTTGGCTCACTGCAACTTCTGACTCCTGGGTTCAAGCGATTCTCTTGCCTCAGCCTCCCGAGTAGCTGTGATTACAGGTGCCCACCACCATGCCTGACTAATTTTTGTATTTTTAGTAGAGACAGGGTTTCCCCATGTTGGCCAGGCGGGTCTCGAACTCCTGATGTCAGGTGATCACCCACCTCAGCCTCCTAAAGTGCTGGGATTATAGGTGTGAGCTACTGTGCCTGGCCTAGACACTGTTTATTTCACTTTTTGGTCTCCTCTTCTACTCCTGTTTCTTGGGGACTGATCTTGAGCTATCTGTTTGTCTCGTTCTGTATACAGAAGGTCAATAACTTTAGAAAAAAAGAGATGCTCCTAATTGATTTTACTCTAGTATACATCTGCATTATAGTATGCTATAACACGGGGTCCTCAATCCCCAGGCCACAGTCCAGTACTGCTCCACAGACTGTTAGCAACCAGGGCTGCACAGCAGTAGGTGAGCGGCAGGTGAGTGAGCAAACTTCATCTGTATTTATAGCAACTCCCTATTGCACACATTACCTCTTGAGCTCTGCCTCCTGTCAGATCAGTGGCAGCATTAGATTCTCATAGGAGTGTGAACCCTATTGTGAACTAGGCATAGGAGGGATCTAGGTTGCATGCTCCTTGTGAGAATCTAGTGCCTGATGATCTGTTACTGTCTCCCATCACCTCCAGATAGGAAATATAGTTTCCCTCCAGATGAGAAACCATAGTTAGTTGCAGGAAAACAAGTTCAGGCCTCCCACTGGTTCTACATTATGGTGAGTTGTATAATTATTTTTAGTATACATTACAATATAGTAGTAATAGAAATAAAGTACACAATAAATGTGATGTGCTTGAATCATCCCGAAACCATTCCCCAACCCTGGTCCGTGGAAAAAATTATCTTCCACAAAACAGGTTCCTGGTGCCAAAAAGGTTGGGGACTGCTTGCTATATCATTTGCTTATACTTTACTATTTCTCCCCCTTTACCCTACCTAATCCAATTAAACTCCATTCCAGGGATCTTTATCTCTGTTTAACTTAACAGAGCCTGGAGCAATGCTAGGACCACAATAAGCAATCAATAAACATTTTTGAATGAATTAATAACATGAGGACCAATACATGTCATCTAAGTGCCTCTAGAGTATGCACACACTTGGTTCTTCTTTCTTTGGATTAATTGACATTTGTTGAAAAAGCAGTTAACAGAAAATGGGCTTCATCTTATTTCCAGCTGTGACTGATTAATAGGGGCTGCCCTCAGAGCATTTTGAAAGTACTTACCTAGAGCTTGATGGAACAGAGTGCCATTATCTATTAATAATATTTTAACATAAATGATATTACTTTAATAATAGTGTTACATTTTAATAATAACAGAAATAATAATAACATTTATTGTGCATGGATCACATGCCATGCACTATACTAAACATATTAGTGGATTATCTCAATTAGATTTCACAACAACTCCAAGAGACACCATTATTATACTTGTCTTAACATTGATGAAACTGAGACACAGAGAAGTTAATAGCTTGCCAAAAACCACACAGCAAGCAAGTAGTAGAGTTGAGGTTTAAACCTATTCTGTCGCCCATTAAAAACCCATGTGCTGAGTATCATGGTACACAATTTTCATGAGAAGTGGTGGTCTTTTTCTTTCTACTGTGCTTTTGCCATTCTTGGCCTAAATTATGAAGAGGGAAGGGGAGAACAGTATAGTTGATGATAGTGTACAAAAAGAAGGCTATTCTGCTCTGTTAGACCTCAGTCATCACGTCTCAAATGTGGATTATTTAGTTAAAAAATACACACACACTTTTTATCCTTTGAAATAATCACAAAAGTTGAAACTATAGGAGAGAGAATCTTGTTTTTGAAATAATTTAAGTTGCCAAGCTGATGCACAAATACTGTCGAGTACTTTAATGTGTGTTTCCTACCAACAGAGATATTTTCCCTGCATAATTACAACAAAATTCAGAAATTAACATTGTTAACGTTAGCACCATATAATACTCAGTCTTCATATTTAGATTTGTAGTCCAGTTGTCCCAATAATATATATATATATATATATTTTTTTTTGAGATGGAGTCTTGTTCTGTCACCCAGGCTGGAGTGCAGTGGCGTAATCTCAGTTTATGGGTAATCTCCGCCTCCCAGGTTCAAGCAATTCTCCTGCCTCAGCCTCCCAAGTAGCTGGGATTACAGGCACCCACCACACGCCTGGCTAATTTTTGTATTTTTGGTAGAGATGGGGTTACACCATGTTGGCCAGACTGGTCTCAAACTGCTGACCTCAGATGATACACCCACCTCAGCCTCCAAAAGTGTTGGGATTACAGGTGTGAGCCACTGTGCTTGGCCCCTACAATATTCTTAATAGCAAATGGATCCCATTCAGAATCATGCTATGCATTCAGTTGCTATATTCTTTAGTCTCTTCTAGTCTGGAGCAGTTGCTGGGTCTTTCTTGACTTTCATGACCTTGAACAATTAAAAGGCAATTGTTTTATAGAATGTTTCTCCTCACTCCACTCAGGTTATGACTCCCACAGCAGCCCCGCTCCACGCATGTTCTAATTACTCTCAGGCTGTGACACCCACGTCAGGTTCTCTCTCCACATAAACAGTCACCTTCGCCTGTCTGAGCTCCAGCAGTGTGGCTTCCTGCCCTTTCCAGCAAAATGCTTACATTGTTCTGCCCATCTATTGGCTTTAGGACTGAACTTTTCAAAAAGGGAAAGGGAAGCAGAGATTAGATATCAATTTAAGATGAATTTCAGCTCTAGAATTCTATGATAGATAAATTAATATGGTCAAATATTTGAAAGTTTGTGCTCAGAAAATGGAGTACAGCTGTGTCGATATCATTGGAAAAAATAACCATGTCTGAAATAATAACTGAGGCCAGAGCAAAGGGAGGCACTGAGTAGCTTGGGATTTTGCTAGATGTGGCACCCTGTGTGTGGCACACTGGGGAGTCTGGCCAGAGCACATGATCCCAGAGTGGGCAGAGAAGTCAGAATATGTTTACAGACTCCCCCACCCCCAGAAAGGGAGAGGAGGTGGTGGAAGGCCAGAAAGCAAGGAATGTCCATTCATTAGTGTGGTCAAGGCAAAAAAGGGAAATATAACAATACCAACCAGCAAGTATCTTAATATGGGTTAGACAGATTAGTGATCTAACGTGTTATGGGAACAATACACCTGGTCTGAGTAATGTATTGCTGAACATACATTATTACTTAGACCACTAGATACCATTGATTTGTGTTATCTTACCAACAGCGAAGTTTGTCCCAGGTTCTAAGTAATTGATATTATGCTGCCATCCTTTGGTTGAATTTAAAATGCCTTCTTTACTAACTGGAACTATTTTTGTGTATTTTAAACAGAGGGTATCACAATTTTAATTACATTTTTTAGATTGACAGTAATGATAAATAATGTATGGAGACAAGTGAATAAATAAAACTTGATACTTATGTAATAAGTTTAAAAGTCATTGAAAAGCCCATTCTAGCTAAAGATGAACTACCAGTCATTTGTTTAATTTATTTCAGAGGCTTCGTCATACTCACTGGTACTTAAGATTTAGCCCTTTTTTCATCATCATGGCACTTTTTCATTGTTTTTCTACAAGCAATGTAAGCATACAGTGAATTTCCTTAATACCATCCTTAGATTTGGACAAGAGTGACCTGTGCTCTACTCTAGGTCTTGCCCTTTTGAGACCCCTGAATATCAGACATGATTCAATCTGTATAACATATGTGTATGCACACATAGAAGTGCACATACACACACATGCATAGACACACACATTTTTAAAAAACATCTAGTACCCACATCACTTAGGATCTGGTGCTCAGTGCTCACATATGGCCCAATAACTCTAAATATACATACTCATTAGTAATTCCGTTCGGTTCCCAGGGGAACATTTCTCCACATCTCTTGCTTTCAGTTCCCTACGAAAAAGTGACTGTGCCTGATGCCATGAAGGAGACATTGCCTTGGAATGTAGGGGATTTGAGCTACAGAGGAAAGAGAAAAGACACATTAATTGCCTAGTAAACCCTTCCTCAAGGATAGCATGAATGCAATAGATTCTTACAAAATGAAATACCATGTCTCAATAGTACCCAGTGTCCATTCTCTTGCTTGTCTTTATGTAACAATTAGTGATTCAGGAGGGACTCATAAATTATGATGGGTATTGGCAATAGTTGCACATGGAGGCGGGAAAATCTTTCTCAATATCAATTTATTTTACTCTTAAATCTGAATTTATGTTGGTCTAGACATATGCTGGAAGTGTGATACTTTTTTTTAACATTGGCATCCATGTGAACCTTGAAAGATAGAATTGCATGTAATTTTACTTTTATAAACATTTTTAATGTTTAATAAGTTTTTAATTAAAAGATTATGTGCTTTATTAAATACTGTCAGTTTAAATTTGATATTAATTATACTATGCATGTTGTTTTATAATTTTGATAGATATTGTATAAAATTTCATTTTTTTGAAAATATAAAATATGTAATATTTTTAACATTTACTTTAAGATTATATTTTTTGTGAAAATATTTTCAAAATTTCTAGACTTTGAATACAATTATATTTTGTTTTTAATATTTTATATCAGGGTTCAGCAAACCTTTCTGTAAAGGACCAGATAGTAAATATTTTAGGTTTTGTAGACCATGTGGTTCCTATCACAACTATTCAGCCTTGCTATTGTAGCATGAAAGTGCCATATACATTGTATAAACAAATGAGCATCATTGTGTTCTAATAAAACTTTATTTACAAAAGCAGGTGGTAGGCCAGATTGGGTCCATAGGCTATAGTTTGCCAACTCCCACTTTAGATTATTTATGATGAGAGAACCTCCACTTCTAGTCATGAGGGACACCAAAATTTATCATCTCACTTTAAACAACTAGAATACTGAGTAAAATATATGAAAAACAGTTTTTAGACATTGGATAACAGGTAGCATAAGATAATGATCCTTGAGAGAAAGGAAAGAAATACAATCAACCCTACCATTGCTCCAGCTTAACGCTGGGTAGAAAATTGATAGGCTGCAGCACAAAGAGGAGGAAACTCCAACAGACCAGTATTCTCACGGAGTTGATATGTCATAGTTTGGAGTTCAGGGAGACAGCAAAATATTGGAGAAGATACTGCTGCACAGAGGGAAATTGGGGGAGAATGAATGAGAGCTACAGAGATCTGTAAAAATGTCTTCAGGAGTCTTTAGCTAATGTGTGGTTTGTGCATGTATGTAAAAGAGTTACCCAAGATGAGGAAAAAAACACCCAGAAAGGAGCAGGCAGCAAAGGCTGTCCCCAGTGCTAACACAGGGCTAGGAATATTTCATGTTTCCAGCAGCCAGAGGGCAAACATCTCCAAATTCAGAGAGCATTAAGTAGAGTCCTCAAAAGACTGTATTCTTGGTTACAAAGACATTGCCCTAGATTATAAAGTATGCTTCACTCATGCTAACAAAGAAAGTATCAGAGGAATCAAATTCCAAGTAACTCAACTATACCCTAAAACAAAGTTCAACTATATGTAAAGGACTTAACAAATTCAGCTCCCATTAAAGTAAAATTTACAATGCTCAGAATCCACTCAAAAGTGACCAAACATGCAAAAGACATAGGAAAATAGGACCCACGAAGAGTAGAAATATAACTGACAACAGCAGACCCAGAAATGACACAAATGATAGAATTATCAGAAAAGGAGATAAAACGCCTACTATAAATATACCCCATATGCTCAAGAATGTAGAGGAAAAGATGAATGTGATGAGGAAAGAAATGTAGATATGAAAAAGAAACAAATTTGACTTCTACAAATGAAAGTATAATATCTGAAGTGATAAATATACTGGATGGGATTAACTATAGATAAGATACTTCTAAAGGAAATACTAATAAGCTTGAAGGCAGACACAGAAACTATTTAAAATAAGACAGAGGAAAAGACTAAAAAGTAAATGAGCAAAGCTTCAGGGAACTGTGTGATAATATTAAACAGTCAAACACATCTAGAGATGTAGTCCCAGAAGAGATTAGGAGGGAGGGAATGAAAAAAAAATGTTAAAAGAAATAAAGTCTTAAACTTTTTCAAATTTGATGAAAATGATAAAATCATGGATTCACAAAGCTCAAAAAAATCCTTGTAAAAGAGACAAGAATAAAATCACACCAAAGCACATTATTATCAAATTGCCAGAAAATAGTGATAGTAAATCTTAAAAGCTGCCAAAGAAAAAGAAGAAACATTATGCACACAGGAATAAAATTAAGAATGACCACAGTTTTCTCTTCAGAAATTATGCAAACCAGAATAGAGTAGAGCAACATGTTTACAGTAAAGAAAAAATCAACTTAGAATTCTATACACAGCAAATATATATTTCAAAAAGAAGACACGATACTTTTTGAGACAGACAAAAGCCAAGAGAGTTTATTTCCAGGGGATGTGTGATATAAGAAGTATTAATGAAAGTAGTGTAAAGAATGAGAGAGAGGAAATAGAAGTATACTGTTATAATATCCCTACACTGTACTTTCAGTGGGTTGTAATATTATTTGAAGGTAAACTGTAATATGTTAAATAAAGATGTATATTTTTAATCCTAGAGAAACTTGTGTGAAAACAAAAAGGAAAACAAAGTGGTATTACCAACAAGCCAATAATGGAGATAAAATGGGCAGTAGAAAACAACAAAAAATTCAATACAGAAGAAGGAAGGAAAAGCTTAAAAGTGAAAAAAGAACATATGGACAGTTAGAAAACAAATAATAAAGTGGTAGATATAAACCGAGCCATACTGACAATTACATTAAGTTTAATGACCTAAACACTCTAATAAAGCAAAGATTGTCAGACAGAATAAAATACAAGGTCCAACTATATGCTCTGTAAAAGAAACTCACTTTAAATATAACATGAATAAGTTAAAAAAATTAAAAGATGCAAAAAAGATATGCCAACACTAATTGAAAAAACATAAATGGTTACCAGAGAAAGTTGATTTAGGAGTAAGGAATAATGCAAAGGATACAGAGGGACATTTTAAAATCAAGGGGTCAATACATCAAGAGGACATAGTAATCCTAAATATGGTGCACCTAATACTAAAGTTCTAAAAGAAATAAGGGAAAAACTGATAGAACTTAAATGGGAGATAGGCAAATCTAAAACTATACTAGGGATTTCGATTCTCTCTTGATAGTTGATAGAACAAATAGACTGTCAGAAAGGATATAGAAAATTTCAAACACTTTCAACCAGCTTAACCTAATTGACATTTATAAAACAGTCCAACCAACAAAAGTAGAACATTATTATTTCAAGTTCACAAGGAACTGTCATCAAGATAAACCATATTCTGAGCCATAAAATAAATCTCAATAAGTTTAAACTACATTCTTTGACCACAACGATTCAAATACGAAATCAGTAACAGAAAGGCATCTGGAAAATCCCTGATCATTTGTAAATTAAACAACATTTAGATCATTTTTGTCAATTGAATGAAAATGATGAGAAAGCCTTAATTATAGATCAGAGCTTGTTATTAGACAGAGCCACGCCTGATATCCTTAATTTATTTTTATATTGTTTTCCTGAAGCTCAGCATAAAATATTTAAAGATTTTTCGAGACTAGTCAAAATTCTACTGTCCAGATAAAGCATAATGTTATGAAACAAGTGTTATTCCTTTTGTATATTATATATTATCATGGGTCTTTTCTCTCTGTCTCTGTCTCTCTCTCTCCCCTCTCTCTCAGATAGAGAGGGAAAAGACCCCTCTGTGGAGCATGCTGACTCAGTTTACTTCAACTTATTAATACTAGAGTAAGTGACCAGACATACAGCTGAGCTGGTATATAACGAGACCATACATGTTTACAGAGTGCCTGTTTTCGACATTTAGGGATTCACCCAGCTGCCTGCAGAAAAATGATTAAAGATAAGCTTCGACATCTGGTATTACTTTGTGTAGAACATATTAATTTATTCCAAGTCAACACATATTTACAAAGCAACTACTATAGTTGTATAGACAGTAAAGAAATCAGTTATCAGTGTTTATTTCACACTCTGAAGAGACCTTTAATCATGTAAATTCATAGTCAAATATAAGACAGAACAGGAAAGGTGTCTTAAATAAGGTAGGTACAAAGTGTTGCGGGGATCCAGAAGATTATGGCTCCTTGGGGGAGATCTGGGCCTTAAAGGACAAGTAGTCTTTAGTCCTTGCACAGAGAGGTTCTTGAGGTAAAGGAAGCAACAGGTAATGTTTCAGAGAACGCATCATCAATAAACACACACACACACACACAAAAACGCTAGCTGTATTAAGGGAATACTAAATCACTTTTTCTGGAGTTCAGATTCCCTCACACTATACTTAGAGCAACAGTGGGATAAGACTGGAAAGGTAGATTGGGGGCTTATTCAAGAGGAACTTAGAATATGGGTATTTGTAATTCAGAGGACATTGTTAATGTAGAGATGTTCACATTAGTTTACCAGAGTTATCACTATTCTAGGGAATATACACTAACCAAATGCCCCCAGTCTCTCTTCACATATAATTTTATCATCTATAATGGATACATATCATTTAATTATATGGATGTACCAACATATATGTAATCATTTGCCTGTTGTTGAACCTATAGGTTGTTTCTAATATTCTGCCATTGCAATAATATTATAACAACATTCTTTGCTATTTTTTTCACATTGCTTCTATAGGCTAGAATCTTAGATATTAAACTGATAGGATAAGATATAAAATAATTTAAGATTGCTGATGTATGTTTTAAAGTTAATTTGCTCAAGCATTTGTGAAAATTTACAGTTCTAGTTGAGGTTTTAAATTTAGTCGTTTGTAGGTATTTTAAGTTTTGCCTCTGAATTCCTTATAAGTGCTGCTAAGCCTTTGATAAGTTTTACTCCATGAAAGACTATTACTGAAAAAAACTTAATCTCAATAAAAGAACTTTAATAAGCTTGACTAAATATTTAGAAAGCACATTGTGTTCAGTGAAACTTTGTATATAATGAATAGAATAATAAAAGATTATATTGGCTGACTAGTCTGTAATTGCCTCGAGGAAAGCATACAATGAATAAGTTATTTTGGTTACTTCCTCAAAATAGCCAACACAATAGGGAAATGGAGAAAATGTACTCTGAGCACCATGAAAAGGGAACCTGAAGATCTAATGTGTAAACTTGCAGAAATGACATTAGAAAACAAAACCAACAAAAGAGAACACTCTCCAAAATAATCTGAGATGCACAAAAGGCAAACGTTCATTCACTAGAGTTGGAATTTCCCTAAGTCTATGCTGAGATAAGTAGCATATTTGACCTTCACCATGATTATCAAGCACTTCTTTGAAATTATGTTGGTGCTGCTGGCCTCTACCACTGTCTTCTTTCTAGATTTGAAACTGATTCTCTTCCAGCAAAAAAGAGTGAATCAAGAAAGTTTAAAACTCTTGAATAAGTTGCAAACCTCATCAATTCACCTATGTCTACCACACAGGAAAAACTTTCTGCTTCCTCAGAAGTCTTTGAGTCCTCAGCAGTACCAAAAAGGACATACTCTGGCCATTCTCCATGAGATGCTTCAGCAGATCTTCAGCCTCTTCAGGGCAAATATTTCTCTGGATGGTTGGGAGGAAAATCACATGGAGAAATTCCTAATTCAACTTCATCAACAGCTAGAATACCTAGAAGCACTCATGGGACTGGAAGCAGAGAAGCTAAGTGGTACTTTGGGTAGTGATAACCTTAGATTACAAGTTAAAATGTACTTCCGAAGGATCCATGATTACCTGGAAAACCAGGACTACAGCAGCTGTGCCTGGGCCATTGTCCAAGTAGAAATCAACCGATGTCTTTTCTTTGTGTTCAGTCTCACAGAAAAGCTGAGCAAACAAGGAACAGACCCTTGAACGACATGAAACAAGAGCTTACTACAGAGTTGTAGAAGCCCAAGGTAGGTGGAGGAACTAGAGGACTTCTCCAAACATGATTATTTCTGTTCTTCATAGAATAGTAATACAATTTATAGTACAATCACACTGTTTTGATTTTGTATATATATATTTATCTGTGTTTTAAGATTGTGCATATTGACCACAATTGTTTTTATTTTGTAATGTGGCTTTATATATTCTATCCATTTTAAATTGTTTATAAGTCAAAATAAATTCATTAATATGGTTGATTCTTCAAATGTGTGTATTTTCATGCAAGCTGGCTGGGTAGATACAATGAAATATGCCACTAATGTAAAAATACTTTCCTTAACATAGAACTCCATTGCAATGATTGGCTTATTTGCCAGAAATTGCTAGAGACAATGGGAAATACTGGGAATAATTTGCAGTATAAGATTTGAAAATACTATTACACAGTGAATATTTACATTACAAGAGACACAATAGAAATATGGTGAAAGGACATGAGCAGTTTGTAGAGAAAAAAAAGACATTAAAAGAGGTTCAATCTCACTCATGATAATAAAAATACAAATTAAATAGCATGCATGCCATTTATAGTACAATCACTATGGAGGCAATTTGGTGATATCTATCAAAATTATAGATGCATGTAAACTTTCATCTATAAATTCTAGGCCTGGAAATGTGTCCTATAAAAATACTTGCCTATGGCCGGGTGTGGTGGCTCATGCCTGTAATCCCAACACTTTGGGAGGCCAAGGAGGGTGGATCACAAGGTCAGGAGTTCGAGATCAGCCTGGCCAATATGGTGAAACCCCGTCTCTACCAAAAATACAAAAATTAGCCAGGCATGGTGGTGGGCACCTGTAATCCCAGCTACCTGGGAGGCGCAGGTTGCAGTGAGCTGCGATCATGCCACTGCACTCCAGCCTGGGTGACAGAGTGAGACTCTATCTCAAAAAAAAAAAAAAAAGAAAAAAAAAAGAAAAAAACCCAAAACTTGCTCATGTGTGATATAACTTACAAACAACATTATTCTCTGCAGTACTATTAGTAATACCAAAAGACAAGAAACCATCTCGATTTTCCTAATTAGAGACAGTTGAGGCATATTCATATAAAGGAACACTATTCAGCTGGAGAAACAAATGAGAGGATATTTCTTTTTGAAAAAGTTGAAAATAGGTGAGATACAGAGCAGTGTAAATAGAATGCTACATTTGGGGTGAAAATGTTAAATAAAATTTATGTTTGTCCTTACTGTATGTAAATAAAGAATAAGAAATAAATTACAATGATTACCTGTATTTAGAGGAAGAAGGAAGACTGAAGAAGATTAGGGTGGGAGAGATTTTACAGCTCCTTTAAATTTTTTTATATTAAATCGTGTGAATATTACAAATTAAGATAATAATTTAAAATGTATGTAACAAGTCACAGTTATCAGAAATATGCATGAGGGAGTCTGGCTGGTGAAGGTCAAAAGGAACAGGACTGAGTTAGCCTGCCCCTGGTTGGGATGTCTGCCTGGAGGAGGGCTGGAGAGAAGCACACCCGTGCCAAGGGGGAGAGTTCCTGCTCCTGGGAGACACCAGTGATGGAGGGATTCCAGCTCTTCTAGCCAGGAACTCCCAGAAGTCACCACGGAACAATGTGGGGGCAGAGAAACTAAAGTTCACTGAGGCTTGGTGGCTATCCCACTTTTGTCCACTGTAAGCAGCAGAGCCATGGCCCAAAACTCTGATGCTAGTTCTACTACCATATATCATGTTCTACATCAGATTCATTGCATAATTGGAGGTAAAAGTCAGTGGTAAATGTAAAAACTCAGTGAAGAACAAAGCATACTCCAGTTTAATTAGTGCAAGTGAGTAATGGCTGGTACTTTAGACTTGGTTTGAAAGGGAAGATTAGGAACCGAATAGGATCCTGAAAGTGAGACAGTCACCTGCAATAGTGAAGAGGGGTAAGGAAGCAGAGGCTGGCAATCAGAAGCAAGTCTTTGCTGACTTCACATTGCGGCCAGGGATTGATCTGTTTACCTTCAAGTTCACACAAAGGTAGTGAAGTGGAGGAAGGAGAAATACCATACTGGACTGCAAATACAAGTTACTTTTCTTCTCAGGGTCTGTAAAATTTTTTTGTTGTTCTTGAAACCAGGAAGTTTGTAGAACCAAATCCTTCATTTAACACATTATCCAATTTTCAAATTGACCTCACAAAATGCTTTCTGTTATTATTATTTTTTCTCAAGTGAGAACAAGACTGTAAAGGTGAAGTAAAATGCTCAAAGTAATGTAGCAAGCCACAGAGCTTGCAGATACCAGAGCAAAGATCTTACCCCAAGTCAGCCTGACTCAAAAGCCTGCACTGTGTTCTTGACAACTCAAACCTGAATAACATTGTGCAACGTCACTGCAAAATAATAATAACAGTAATAATAATTTTCTCCTAGCTTTCTTTATTCAAGTTCACAATGGTCTCTGCAGTCTTGAATTAAAGAAAAGGTATTTCCCTTTCTCTTGACATTGCTTTCTTAAGAACTGAGAACAGAATGAAGGAACTGTCAAATGGAGACATTTAGCAAATAATACTCATATTTAGACGTTTAAACTAATACTTTATATCCTAATGTTTTCCCAAACATGTAGGTTTATGAAGTTGATATCCTGTTTGTATAATCACCTCAATGCCTAGCACAAAATAAAAAATTGTTACTTTTAAATATGTCTGCCCTTTTAAAACTCCAAAACCAGAGTTCTAAACTTGGGAATACTGGGAAGGAGAAACGTATTAAAAGATTTGACTCCTGGCTTAGTAGCACATGGAAAGGCTTGGAGTATGGGTAGGTTCATTAATACTTGCAGGCTGAGTTATATTTTTGTTACATCTATATGTATTGAGCTAAGCAAATCATTAAATCCAAAAGCAGGTTACAAAATAATAACAGCATCATCATATTTTCTACAAATAAAATATTCATGAAAAGTATATGAAAAGAAATGCATGAAAATGTTCATAGTACTTCACTTACACTTTTTGGATTAAATATTTCTCCCATGAATAAGGATTCCTTTTAGAATCAGGAAAAAATAAAATTATTATATTTTTGAAATTTAAAAAAAGAACAGGCTGGGTACAGTGGCTCATGCCTATAATCCCAGCACCTTGGGAGGCCAAGGCAGGCAGATTGCTTGAACCCAGGAGTGTGAGACCGGCCTAAGCAACATGGTGAGATACCATCTCTATTTTAAAAAATAAAAAGAACTCTTGTAAAGGGCACCTGCTATAAGTTAAGCCCCACTCTAACATGAATCAGAATCACCTGGAGGATTTGTTAAACCCCCTGATTGCATGGTCCCATCCCACTGTTTCTGATTCAATAGGTCTGTGGTGTGGCCTGAGTAATTACATTTCTAACAGTTTTCACATGATGCTGTTGCTGCTGGTCCTATGATTACATGTGGTAAGCCATACCCCTACTTCTTGATGGCCTTGGTAGGTTTTTAAGAGATGAAGGCATAGTTTTTTTTAAGGCTACTGATCTCATATTTCTTATGACATCTGGAAAAAGTGAGCACCCTATATAGGAGTTAGTTGATGAAGATTTTTTTTTTCTATCACTGCCTTTTCACAGCAGCAAATCAGACATTTTCCTTCTTAAAGAAGCTATATGTAGCAACTGTTATATCCTAGGTGCACCCAATGACAATAACTGCCTTTTAAGGAAAATGGACTAAAAGAAGTTTTGTTTTGTTTTGTTTTCTGTAAGGATTTCTGGTCCTCATACCATGTGGTTGAGTGAAATCAAAACTTCAACCATAGCAATGCTGATTGGACAAAGAATGTGTTGTGGACACAAAATCAAACCTCTGGAGGACAGAGGATTCATTCCAAGGTGAAAAATGGCAAACTTATCCAGTAATCTCCTCTTTAGAGAAGTATAAATGTTTGGTAAATAGATTTGGGGGCCATTCATGGAATTGCCTTTGGCTAAAGTCATTTAACCCAAGTTTTCTACTCCTCCCTAGGGTCTTCTTGTATTCAACAACTGGTCTATGTGGGAGTGTGAAGGCCCCTTACTCCACCTGCGAAGAGTCATCCCAGCTTCAGACCACATTCCCCAGCCTCCTGTTATTGGCTAAGGCCATTTTGTGACCACACTGCAGCTTAGCTTTCCCTCTTGCCTAACCGTCCTGCCTTTTCTTCTCACAAATGTTGATTCCATAGCTTTCTCCAATAAACAAACTCGTTGCATGAGAATCATCATCTCAGAATTTGTTGTCTGACCTTCAATTTAGGGCCACAGAAAACCTAAGCTCATAAGTTGTTTCTTTTGCTAGCTACGCATTCTTTCCCTTATATGTGTTAATAGCATTCCTGTTATTCATGATTCACTTAAAATTTTTCCCTTCATGGAAAGCCTTTATAGTCTGAACCTATTTGCTTCTTGCCCACAACACAAATCTTACCATGTCACCCACCTCATTGTACTGTAATGGATTACTTCTCCTTCCAACTAGACTATTATCTACTTTATAGTAAGGACATGGCTTCTTAACTCTTTAGCACATTATTCAACATTTAACAGAGACACTCTAAATATTGAATGAATGCAGACTTTTAAAAATGTAGCATTAAAGGAAAGAAGGGAGATACCAGTACCATATTATCAATGCCAGTTAGACATATGAGGAGACCGTCTAGAAATGAGGAAGTCTTTCTTGTTTATGTGGTATGCTAAGAGGTTAAGTTCTTAAGTTTGTTTTTGAGACTCTCCATTATTCTTGGATGGACCCGATATGCTACTTCTTAGAGTGAAAATGAAGTATTCCTCTTTCTCCGATGAAATGGTGGGTTTTACACTTATATAGCAAGGGCACAATAAAATAGGAACATAATATGTAGGGCAGAAGTCCAGATGGGAGCCTCTCTTCTAACTAGTGGTTCTGATCATCTTAAACAATGCTTTCCTGAACTAATTTTTTTTTTTTTTTTTTTTTTTTTTTTGAGACGGAGTTTCACTCTTGTTGCCCAGGATGAAGTGCAATGGCAGGATCATGACTCACTGTAACCTCTGCCACCTGGGTTCAAGCGAGTCTGCTGCCTCAGCCTCCCGTGTAGCTGGGATTACAGGTGCCTGTCACCACACCCAGCTAATTTTTGTATTTTTAGTAGATACAGGGTTTCACCATGTTGGCCAGGATGGTCGTGAACTCCTGACCTCAGGTGATCCACCCACCTGAGCCTCCCAAAGTGCTGGGATTACAGGTGTGAGCCACCGTGCCGGGGCGACCCCACTCTTATTACCATCTTGAGCACCATTAGCACCATCTTGAGCAGTTCTAAAAGGATCTGTTTTTTGCTCAGCTTATTTAAAATACTTAATATTATGAAAATATTAAAACAATATATGCCAATGGTATAAATGGCTCAATTTTTACAATTTTGTAAGATATAATACTCTTCCCATTGTTCTAGTTAAAAGGCCACTCACTCATTTGTTGTCCAAAATAGGTGGCCACTAGCTATTAATAAAGATTTGGTGACAATTTTCTTCATTTCTTTGGATTTTATACATAAAGCATTATGAGTAGGCAGAAGATAGCCAGCATGTAGTAAGTGTTTAGAGGTAAGTAGCTAGGGTTACGTAGTAAGTATGCAGGAAGGGACCATAACACAATAACAGTCCTATGAATTTTGCCTTCAATGCAAAAAGAATCCAGTTTCTTAGAGGTATGAAAACCTGTTCGGCCAATTTAGGTAGAGATGTTTATCTCTTGGAAAGGATGAAATGAGGTTTAAATAGAACAAATGACAGGATTCCGTTGACTAATAAATCATGTAACTTTAGTCTACATAAGAAAGGTAAGCATACATTGCTTAGTGAAATTTATTCCAAGTTAAGTTTCAACATAAGCCTTACAGCAAATAAAATATAGATCCTTGGAGAAAATTTAATTACTCTAAGTAATAGAAATTGATGTCAGTTCATGTCAGATGAACAATGCAGTTACCAATCTGTATGAAAACATTTGGGATCAAAGTGAATTTATTTGGAAAGCACTGAGAATTGAATTCTTAGCTGGTGTATTATTCAGTATAACAGATCTTTTAAAAAAAGTAATAGTTCCTAATCCACTCTCATTACTTTAGATGGAGGAATGAGTACTGGCGAAAGAGGCTAGATAAAATTGGAAAGAAATAAGCATATTTCCAGACTCAATGGTGGGATTAGAGGAGAAATACTTTGAAGGAGCCATTTGTGCCTAGTAGTGGGGGAAAAGAAAGATAATACACTCCGTGGATGGGATAGAGATCAGGAGCAGAAATAACTAAAATAATAAAAATGTCTCTGAAATGCCTCTGGCTAAGTGGGTTCTTATTGTGCATTCAAATTAGAGAGGCAAAGAGAGGATTCCGTACATTTCAGCATTTATGTTGCAGCACCTGCGGGAATTGTAATTGAAGATACAAGATTAGGGGTCCCATTGAGAAAGGATTTTAGAGACTTCACTAGGAGGTTCATGCTGTAATTTCCAGCACAAAGTTACCTAGGAGCACTTGGGACTGTCTGAGGGGTTGAACATAAACAAAACAAAACAAAACAAAAGAAAATGAAACCAAACAAAAAGCATATATGGTATGGTGCAGAGGGAGGGAAGGTGGGTTACCGGGTAGTGGGAGCCATAGGGCTTAGGGTTTCAGGGCATGTATGTTGGGGAGGGTGGGAGAAGGTGGCTGAAAAAAACAAAACACAAACATGTGATGTTGAACACACATACACACACACAAGGTAGAGTGCAAAGTTTGAGATAAAAGATTTTTTCCCCTAAATCATCTCTTTTAGATTGCCATGTACTGTCTTCTCCTACTAATAATGCCTGATATTAAAAATCAAAAGGAATAAAAAATGCTAAATGACTTTCTTGTGCACAACACTCAGGTAAATAGCTATGAAGGTTGAGCCAAGGGGTACCTAGAGAAATTAGAGACAGGAAACAAAAAGAAGCCTGCTTCCTGAGAAGTGAGCATGTTATTCTGCTTCTCTTTGCTTCTGGTCATTCAGCTATTGAGTATAATAAAAATAGCCCAAATCATTGGATGGTTACGATGATGAATTGAATTATAAACACTTCAGAACAATGCCTGGCATGCTCAATAAATAGAAAACATTATACCTAGTATATCAAAATGTAGGAAACAAATGCAAACCTATTAAATACCAAAAATATGTGTATGTAAAACATCTTTAAACCTTCAGACAGGAAAGCTATTTCTGAGTAATATGAAAACCAAGGCCACAATGGAAAAAGAAATACATTTTAACACATTAAATGGAAAAAAATTCTGTCCAGCAAAGGGCCATAAAGAAAATTCAAATCACATGGAAAAAAAATACCCATATTTAAAAATATATGAGTATTAATATTTTAAATAAAAAGTTCAAATATTTTAAGAACCTGATAGAGATATGAGTAAGAAATATAGAGGCAGTTTACGAGAAGCATAAATAGCTATGAGTGGATAATATGCCAAATAATATGCCTCTCTTTTCAAATAAATGAAAGATCTGATGAACAACAAAAAGATTACTTGGTGATGGTTGGGATAAGAGTAGATACAGTAGAAGTATAAAATTTAAAAACACGTATAGTTAATTTGGTAAAATCTACCAAAATTATTAAACCACCAGACCCAAAAAATGCAGCCCTAGGTATTTATATTACAAAAATACTCTATCCATATGCCAGCTCAAACATATATACAAATTTATTTATTGAAGCATTATTTATACAAAAGACAATTGCAGTGAAATTAATATGCTATTATAGAGCATTGGTTAACAATGCTCCCTTTGTATTACAGAATACTGGACAGTCATTCAATCTAATTAGATAAAGAATATTCATTTACATCCAAACTTGTTCATAATATGTTGAATGGTGTTGAGTGAAAATGCAAGCTAAAGAATAAGAATGATTACGTTAGCCGGGTGCGGTGGCCCACACCTGTAATCCCAGCACTTTGGGAGGCCAAGGCGGGCGGATCACGAGGTCAGAAGATCGAGACCATCCTGGCTAACATGGTGAAACCCTGCCTCTACTAAAAATACAACAACAACAACAACAACAAATTAGCCAGGTGTGGTGGCGGGCACCTGTAGTCCCAGCTACTCAGGAGGCTGAGGCAGGAGAATGGTGTGAACCCAGGAGGCGGAGGTTGCAGTGAGCTGAGATTGCACCACTGCACTCCAGCCTGGGCGACAGAGCGAGACTCAGTCTCAAAAAAAAAAAAAAAAAAAAAAAAAAAGAATGATTACGTTGATGAGGAAATAGAGGGTAGAAATGAGATTTTAAAATTCTCTTTTAATTTGTGGAATGTAAATATCTCGTTTTCTCTTTTTTAAATTCTTAACTATCCATTTAAGTTGACTCAGATGGTATCCAGCATTTCTATTTTCATGAAGCAAATGAGATTTATCATAGCTTAGTTTCTACTGTGGTTGGTACTGGAAGACAACATCTGCCTTTGGTATCACCAGGGGACAATGTGGAGGGACCACTTCACAGCCACTATTAAAAAGTGGAGGTGAAACAGATAGAATGTTAGATAAAAATCGTATTTTCTAATAAGTAAATATGAGAATTTGAATATGTTTCTCATTTAATGAATAAACACAGTGATAGAGCTTTATAAATAATTAAAATTCCAACTCCTGGAAACTGATATCCTCTTTACTATATGGTTTTCCATAGTCGTTTATGGATGGGTAAAGCATATTCTTATTTTTTTCTCTAGCACCATTCTAGATCTTGGAGCTATGATTTTGCACCTCATGATATTGACTTATTTTCTTTTTAAAGCAAAAGATTGCACTAAGAAAGGCTCCTCTAACCCAACACCTTGCTCTAAACTTATCTTTAGCTGATCCAGCAATTGCTGAATAAGTTACAACAGCAAGCTCTCCACGAATCTCTATCAGTAGGAAGTCACACTCTTGGATTAAATTAAAATGAAGGAAAAAACTGCTTGAATGTACCTTACAGAAGAAAGATATTCAGAAAAGGTCCTTTGGTACAGAGTCAGACCCAAAACAGACCTCTAAGAAGGAGGCATTTTGGATGAATAAGAATGGTCCCATGGCAATAATCTCAAAGCCCATTGTGATGTTCTTAGACTAACAATGTCAGATAACTCAGAAGGTAAGGAACTTATTTACATTTGTAGCTTATTTGCATGTTACTTGAAGTATTTGCTTATTTCATGTCAT